AGAGTGCTCCTTGGAGGCCAAGATGGCCAAACTTATTCTCTCATACTTCGGACATATTGTCAAGAGGGACCAGTCACTGGAGAAGGATATCATGTTTGGTAAAGTGGAGGGTCAGAGAAAAAGAGGAAGACCCCTAGGGAGATGGATTGGCCAAGTGGTAGCATCAATGGTCACAAGCATGGCAACAGTAGTGAGGTTGGCCCCGGATCGGGCAGTGTTCCGTTCTGTTGTGCATAAGGCCACTATGACTCGGCACTGACTCGGTGGCATCAAACAACAGCAAAACACAACTACAGATGGGAGACTTCCTTTGCTGAGCACCACCAGAGGAGAAGCACAGCTGAAATCTGGCTGTGAACCGGTTCAGAAAGTGCACTAAGTGCCAACAGTTGGCCAAACTGAACTCATAGCACTCACAACCTATGGCATGAGGAGAGGATGGGAACAATTCCAACAAAATGGAATGTACAGGAAATAAGGGAAAGGTTTTGGCAGAGAAGGCATTGGTTCTTGCTGATGTGGGACAGTGATAAAACTTTAGTAGAGGAATCAGGAAGCCATGAGTTACAGCTGTGTTCCATGGACAGGAAGTGAAACTCCACAGAGCTTGGCACAAACTTAGGAGTCGAAGCATTCTCTGAGTTGGGTGGTATAGAAAATTTGCAGAGTCCCATTTCAGAATGCCTTGAGCCTTTTCTCTTGTTTCATTCCTATAGCCATTGCTGAAGAATGTTACTTCTCAGGTAGACTATTGCAATGATTTATTAAAACCTCTGGAGTATCAGGAAACACATTGGCTCTATAGAAAGTCTGAATAATCATATCAATGTTGTTGTTGTTGTCAGATGCCATCGAGTCTGAACCGACTCATAGCGACCCCATGCACAGCAGAACGAAACAATGTCCGAATCATATTAATAGCCTGATATATTTGGTAAAATATTTAATTAACTCACTCCTGATGTGATGGCTGAAGTCCTGGTGTGGTGTGTGGGTTAATGCACCAGACTGCAAAGCCACTTAATCTGCAAGGTTGGCAGTTGAAGCTCACTAGCTGCTCCTTGGAAATCATATAAAGGTTGTTATGAGTTGGAACTGACTCAACAGCACTTAAAAACAAAACCCAATAAAACTTGGAATCCCAGTGTGGTGCTGTGGGATTAAGCACTGGACCACAAGACCAGTTTGAACCACAAGGTTGGCAGTTCAAACACTCCCCAGCTGCTCTTTTGAAACCCTAGTACTTGGTCGCTGTGAATTGGAACTGACTTGATGGCATTTAGCAACAATAACAGTTTTCTAAAAGTGCTTGAACACTTCAATATATATATATTAGCTTTTATTGTTAATCGGATGATAGTTTACATGGGAGAACATCAGTTTGACACACATCATTTCATTGCAATTACTACAATCCCCTCCATGTATCATCATTCAACAGTATTTGCTTCTGTTGCCTCTGGGTTTTTGTTTGTTTGTTTTTAATGTACACAAAAACACTTAGGAATATATAATCATTTAAACAACCAAGGGCACATTCTGCAAGCCTGCCTCCTGGCCGCAGGCACTCAGTTCCTCTCTTTTCATGAGTCTAGAGTCCTCAGCTGCTCTGTTTCTCTATGTCCTCATCTCTGCCTCCATCTCTGATGTCGCTGTTTCTCTGGATAGGGTCGCACATTCTGCTTGTGCTCTTCTCCCTTGATGGTCCTAGGTCCTCTGTACTGTAAGATTAACTGTTCCCCCTTTTTGTTTCAGAACTTCTACCTTTACTGTTGTGACAATCATAATTAGTCAGGATAACAATTACTTACTATTGAATCGTAAGAATCTTATCCCCATCTCTTTTCACCAGACCCGTCTAGACAAGATGAAAACTATTCAGTGGGGACTCTATCTTCCTCACACACACTCTGAAACTAAACCCCCTCTTAACAAGTTGTAAGTCAGTTATGCCTTTATAGCCCTCCCATTTTAGGTAGCCAATGTCTAAGTTCCCCATCCCTATCAACCCTGAATACAGAGGGGATAATATTAATTCTTGATGTGAAGACTTCTTCCCTCTTAGTTGGTAAATATAATGATTTTGAAGGATTATTTTCTACAATAAAATGTTGAATATGTCATCACTGAAAAATTGTGTAATGATAGCATAAAAGTGTATTGTGCCATATTGAGAAAGAAAATGTTTTAAAGTAGAAATCAACCTTAAAATTGCATCAAAAATAAATTTTAGTAATTTGAAATACAATGAACAAATTATAAGATTTACTTTGTTAAGCAAATGTAAAACATAAGATTTAGTGATTACTAAAGAATAGGTATTGTTCGTAACCCTGGTGTAGTGCTGTGGGTGAATGTAATGGACTGAAAGGTCAGGTTAAAACTCAAGGTCCATGGTTCAAGCTCACCAGCCACTTCTTGGAAACCCTATACAGGATAGCTGTTAGTCAGAACCAAATCAAAAGCACTTAACAAAAACAAGAACAGATATCAATGTGATATGCAGAATATATTATGCTCTACAGGAAGGGCTTTGACTTGGGTATAGAAATATTTGTGAGATTTTTTTTTTTAATGGAGCTTCATTAAAGCTGTGCTAAAAAATTTTAATTGGAAAATAAAGTCTACACTAGACTAAACACTTACATGCCGAAAGCCTCTATATATTAAGTATGTGTGTTATCTATCAGCATGTGGATACTTGATACATTTATTAGGAAAGATTTGTGTTATATGCTCAGTACAAAACTATAAAAGTATATCGTAAAAATGAACGATAACAGCAGTTAAACAAGATTTTACTTTCCGTTTTTAAAAGCTTTTACAACAATGTTGTAATTCTAGAAAACTTTGGGTTTAGTTTTCTGAAAATGCCGACAAATAAGCTACATTATTTATATAATAATGAAGATCTATTACTATAGAAGGAGTCCTGGCTTGGTGCTGTGGGATAAGTGTTTAACCACAAGGTTGGTTTGAACTGCAAGCTCCCCACCTACTCCTTGGAAATCTTATACAGGGGCATTATGAGTCAGAACCAACTGGATGACACTTAACAACATTATTAAATGAGGAATCCTGGTGTGCCACTGTAGGATAAGTGCTGGACTGCCAACTACAAGATTGGTAGTTTAAATCCACCAGCTCCTTGGAAACCCTCGACAGCACTCAACAAACCTGTATATGACTTTCCCTATATATGTTGTTGTCAAGTGCCATCAATCAATTCCGACCCATAGCGACCCTGTATACGGTTTCCAAGGAGCAGTTGGTGAGCTTGAACAGCCGACCTTGCAGTTCAAACGGCTTTGCAGTCTGGCGCATTACCCCACAGCGCCACACCAGGAATCCTTTTATATGGAGCCCTAGTTTATTTGGTGCTGTCGGATAAGTATTGGACTGTTCAAGGTTGGTGACTGAGACCCACAGGAAACCCTACACAAGGTCACTGTGAGTCAGAATCAACTCGATGGCACTTAACAACAACAACATAACACATAAATACCCATATCTTCATGTATAAAGTATAGAGAAGACCCTATTTTATCTCAGGATATTATCACTATAAGATGTGTTGTTTCCTAACTTTTTTTTTGCAGGTTTCTCATATGACCTGCTTTATGGAACATACTTTAAATATATCAGTAATATCTGGGTAAAACTCATTTTAAATTTATCAGATTTGAAATTCCATCACATTGCACAAATTCTGGAAACAGAAATGCTCATTTTTGAAGTTCTTAATGATAATAGGTTTTTATTTTTATTCTTTTAATTACCTTAATCCTAATCCACTGATGAGAATATCTTTAATGTATTTGTTTTAGATTTCTGAGAGTTTCGAGAATTCTTCATGCAGAGTGAATTCATAAGTCCTTATGCTTTTATATTACTGTTTCCAACTTTCCAGCAAGGAGACAAAATTTCACAATTTCCATTTGGATTAGAAAAGCATGTCAAGCAGCTATAACTTTTAATTTGACATTTAGTTTCCTGTCATTTTCATGTAAATAGGAAACAAAAGAGATGTGCTTAGTTGCTTACAATTTCCATAACAAGGATGTTTGTTTCAACTTTATCATTTTCCCTCTGGCAATTGTATTTTCTCACAATAGGCTAAAAGCAACCAGTAATTGCTCACGGTTATTATTTTTCATCTTTATGAAAACTTGTTACTTCTAGTTTTTCTTACCCAAAAGCTTCTACTCGCTTGTATATTTCAGCCATATACACTATCCATTAATGTTTCTAGCTCATCCTTTTATTAATCTGCTGCAGGTTATCTAGGTCAGACTTTCTATTTCTTTCTGTAATACATTTTTTCCCAGGCTTTGCAACCTCTTTTTCTACCTCTTAAAAAAATAGGAGGTGAAAATTTGGAATTGTTCCATTGAATGCAAGTGATGCCGTATTGAAAGGCAAGTTTAGGTCTTGATTTATAGTGCTTTGAACACTCCCATATGTGTTACCAACTGTGGCTTTACAACCATTGTACAATGTGATTCTGTGCTTTTTCTAATAAGTATGTATTTAATTTTGTTTTTCCATGGCTCTGACAAAAAAGCCTACCTTATACCTAGATATAAATATGCTTACTTGCATGTATTTTATGATCTGTACAGTAAGTGTCAAGTGTGTCTCAATGGGGAGAAATTTCAATTTTGTATATCCTTTTAAATATGTTGATTTATGCAGATTAAGTTAAGTAGGAAGTTATTTTTGTAGATAGTCATTTCCATTTGTTCCTCTTGTAGAAAGAGAGAGAGAGAGAAAGCAATCAGATAGTTTTTTAAGCATTTTATTTCATGGATCTTCCAGGAAAATATACCAACGAATCATGTACTTCTTTGATTTTGTGTTTGCTATTGCATTTATAGTAATTGATACAATCACTAGGTGGGGCTTTATTTATTCATTTATTTTCTTTAATTTATATTTTTTAATATGCCTCATCTGTATTTTGGCAGCAGCTCATCTGTGCTCTTGTTTTTTCTGCCCAGTGATTTGACAAGAACAGTGGAGATTTCTGGGGAAGGAGGTCCCTTAGGGATACATGTAGTGCCTTTCTTTTCATCTCTGAGTGGAAGGTAAGATGTTTTCCTTCTTTCAAATGCTCAAGCTAATGAAAATCCTGACTTGAGCTTGTTTTCACAAACACTTTTCAATAGAGGATTAAATATGTACCACTCTTATTCAGATGGACACCTCAAGATAAACTTTTGTTGGCTACTTTTGTTAGAAAATAAAATCATTTACTTTGGGGATACAATAAAAGAAAAAAAAATCATTAAGAGTTTTTGCATTTACAAGTTATTTATGAAGCACTTTTTAAAAATATCCATATCAGTGACACCAAGTCCTTAGCAAAAATCTTAACATACTGTTAGACAAGTTACAACAGAATTCATTGTTCCAGTATATACTTCAAGTAGATATAGTAACTCTATATTGACATTTTCTGTGAGATTAGATCTAACCTAGGCATCTAATCTCTGTCATCTAGAAAATGAGAGTAACAGTGAGACTTTGTATTCTGAACCTCCGGTATATAGAAACTTGTTGTTAAGTGCCATTGAGTCAGTTCCAACTCATAGTAATCCTCTATAGGGGTTCTGATGAATGACTGGTAGTTTGAACTGCTGGCCTTGAGGCTCAAACTGACCTTACAGTCTAGTGCATTATCCTGTAGCACCACACCATGACTCCATATAGAAACTTATATACTTTATATTGTTATTTCTAAATAACTATATCCAACATTGTATATGTTTGATGATTTTAGTTATAATCAGAAAATGTGACGATGTCATTTATTTTTCTTTTTGAAAATAAAATAAAACATGTAAAAAGTAATTCACTGCATCCTTTGGAAATGTGAAAGACATCATATTTCTGGTAAATGGTCATTTAGATTATGCCAGCATTTCTTGAAATTCACGGATATTTAAATAATGAGGTAAAACTTGTTTTCTTAAAGGAAATTAAAGTGTGTGATTATGAGCTAATGTTTTTACTATTTGGGCAGCTTTAAGGAACCAGTCCTAGGTTTCCTGTCATTTTAAAGGAGGTGACTGCTGTCATCTAGCACTACAGGCTATCAGAAACTTAAAAAGAAAATCAGTTTCTCATTCACGTGACATAATTTTAGCTAATTTGTTTAAATTTCTTCTCTTAAATACATTATTGAAAAGGCAGAACACTCCACTATAGGTCAAGATATCAAAGACCAGAAAAGTCCCAATGATTTGCTTAATGTGTCACCCACAAAACTCTGAAACTCTTACCAGGCCCTCCCTCATTCTATTATTCTTTTAGTACAAAAAATTTCCCAAAGGCTGTCTAGTATTAATTTATTGGTTCTGAATACTTACTCAGTTGAGCCTGTCATACAGCAAGAAGATCAGATTTAGCAATGATATGTTTGTTTGGCCTCATGTCCAGCAGGTAGCCATCTGCTACCTGTAATTGCAAAGTCGTCACTTTTTTTGCAAATAGCGTCAGATGTCAAGTACTTGATGGAATGAATGTTCCCTAAAAAGAAATGAACCGAAAAGTTAGTGCCTCTCATTGTCTCATTTCCTGCATGTGTTAATAAGAGTGTTTCTAAATGCTATGGGTTATGGCACCAGACAGGCAGAGGTTGTTTTTGATAGACAGGGTGAGTATTTACCCAGTTGTCTTGAGAAATTCTAATGGCTTTTGGCGGAAATGTACTGATGGAGTTTTGTGAAATAGCACAGCACTTCAGTTACCAGGCCCCTTAGCTTAATGAAGCTGGAATAGAACATGAGATCTCCCCAATTTCCAAAACATGAGGAAATACACAATCTGACAGTCACTGTATTTCGTTCTCCGTAATTTGGAAAACGAGTTGACCCTCTAAACCAGAAATCACCTTCTCTCACATCAGGTGAGGGAAATACACTATTGATTTGCTCCCAACTCCTTCCTGGTTCTGATTTTTAACATAAGCCTACAAGTAAGAGTAATAGAAAGAACATTGGACTTGGATTCAGAGCAATTAGATTAGGATCTCTTTTGGGGACCAAATCTGCTAATAGTTTGTCTCTCCTTAGATGGAAATTTGAATACCTATTTGACATAAAAGTTGTGGAAATTAAATTATGTTAACAATTTGAAGCCCCCTTCAAATAGAACATGAAGCAAATGAACACATGTTGTTGTGAGGTGCTGTTGAGTAGGTTCTGACCAATAACGACCCTGTATAGGCTTTCCAAGGAGTAGCTAGTGAGCTTGAACTGCCAACCTTGCAGTTCAAATGGCTCTGCAGTCTGGCACATAAACCCACAACGCCACACCAGGACTCCAAATGAAGTTTCCAATATTATTATGGTGTGAAAACCAAGTGTCTTGTATAAGAACTTTTTTTTTTTCATTTCATGGTCGAGTGTTTAAAAACTTAGTAAAATAGCTCCTTTTTTCCTTTTTTTAATTTTTATTAGCTATTCACTAATATTATAGAAAGGAAATTTAATTAAAAAACATTTAAAATAATATGGAAGTGGAGACGCGAGCCAATAAAAGTTAAGAAGTAATGAGTACAGGCTGTAACAGCACGCTTAACTTAACCCATGTGTCTGGGTGCAACCGTGTTTGGAGGCCTGTCAGACAAGTATCTGACTTCAGAATGCCATATGGTCGCACTGTGTGACTACAGGGGCTTAAGTAAGGTCATAGTAAAACACTTAGTTCTTAATTTCCTCCCACCAATTGGTTTGTGTCATTATTGAGATTTAGAATTTACATTTAATTCTTTATTGTAATTGGCTTTGCCTCTAATTTTCTTTTTCTTTTAGAAAAATACTGCTACACCTGTTGTTGAATAAGAAAGCTTATATAAGTTAGAACATACTGAGTAAATGAGATGTGGCTGCTGTACTGTATATAGCCTCAGCGAATTAATTACATACCATAGCATCAAGGTGCTGAAAGCTGCTGGTATCGGCAGTCATTGACTTTCACAGTAAAAACAAAACCAGAACAGACATGTTCAACATTGCAAGTAAAAAGAAACTAACTCTCATTCAGTATATATGTATATATCAACAACAACATATATAGCTCAATGTGATCTTTAGACTTAAAAGGATAACATATCAGGTTTTCCAGTAGATACAGACACAATGAAACACTACATTCATAGTAAAGAGAGTTCAACATGAGAGAGGAAGAAGGAAGAGCTGGGTGGAGAGTAGAACATCATGTTTGAAGAGGAGAACTTCAAGTTGAAATTCTATAGCAAGTGGAGTAGCCAAGGTCATGTGATACAGAAGAGTGAACAATAAAGGCTGAGAGTGTGGGCTGGAGCTTAAATGGTGATTAGAAGAGCTAGGCACTATCATTACCCCTCTTATTCTGCAGGCCTATAGATTTCAGCATCCTTTATATCCACTCATTAATGCAAATTGACTGGTTACTCTCAGCCTGTAACTCCTAGACAACATTAATCTTAAAATCCTGCTCAACTTGCTCCCAAATGAAACAGCTACCACGGCCCACCAGTTTGGGGCAAAGAGAATAATGAGAGCATCTCTTCTGAGTCTTCTCATACCGGTCAGGATGGAATCAAACTGAAGGGAATGCGTCCCTTCTGTAGAGCAGAGAGGGCAGCAGCGGTTTGTTGCAAGGAACCAAACAAATCAAATCAGTCAGTTTTATATTTTACCAAAATTACCTCTGACACATGGGTTTTACAGTTGGGCTTATTCTGTCAATAAATTTTTCATGCAAAGTTAGGTTATTTAGATCAGTGAGGTTCACATAGCATGCTCCAGCTGTAATATACCAGCTAAATTGCAACCCAGTGGCCTGAAAGAATTAATTCATCTCCCAAAATGTGAAATTAAATCCTAGGGAGTAACATTACATGACTGATGATGTACTGAATTAAATTAAAGGAAGACTTGAATGCTTGTTAAAAAAATATCACTTACATAAACTAGTTTATAACCACATGTGCGCCTACTAATGGAGCATGCTATTGTGGATCTACCATAATAAAAATCCAAAAAACTATTAGAGCGTTGTTTAATTTAGGAAAAGGAACACTAGTTTGTCCTGTTTAGTGTATCTCTTTTTGCACTTCAAATAGTTCAATTTGTAAAACTGTGTTGGAAGGTGAAGATTATACTAGTATCTTAAAAATTTTAATTTGAATTTAGATCTTTTGTCAAATAGATGTGACTACTTCTTTATTTCACACAAAATATTTGATTACTAAAGTCCTGCTGTAGCACTGAAGGGTAAGGACTGGACTGCTACCAACAAAGTTGGCAGTTCAAACTCACTAGCTACTCCTCAGAAACCCTACACAGGGTCACTATGAATGGGAACTGACTCGTAGGCACTTAACAACATGCTTGATTGCTAACTTACTAGAACTAGAGAATGAAATCTAACGTCTGTCTCACACTTATGAACTGAGTCTTCTCTGCCATAAGTGAAATGGTTATTTGCTATTCTCTCCCCTGCAATTGCATACTGCATCCACTGAACGATTTTGAAGTAGAAACATTCTAAATATGACGACATGTGCCTTGCCGGTTGGCATCTTAAAATTTCATGAACTCATTTAATGGCCTGGGACCCTGAAGGGAAAGGCTCAATGTTGGGAATATTCCAAACAGTAGGACTGGTTTACTTCTACACTGGCATTATAGACTGTCCTTTATTCTCTCCCCTGGTTGACCCTATAATGCATGCATAAATTGTGCTCATATTTTATTTAGATTTGAGATTTAATGCAAAAGGACTAAGTTAAAAGCCCACAAAGTTCATATACAAAAAGGAATGGCAAACTAGAAAAATAAGAACAGAAGGAAAGTGGAGACTGGTTTTTCTGAGCCCAACAGATAACTCTGGAAGAACATTTCTGTTTCTCATTTTGAGACATAGTAGAAGGGAAACTTTGCAAATGATAAATGATTTACAATTCCCATTTCTTTGAATCATGTGTTTTGGTACCACCAATACATAATAGAGCTTCAGATATTTATGTACATATATACATAAAAATAATTATATACACTAAAACACATACACACATGTATGTTTGGGTCAACAATCAATTTGATAGCAACAGGTTTGGTTATGTATATACATAAAATGCAATTCCTTATTCTCACTGTGTTTTAGGCCAGGTTTTCTAGAAAAGCAAAACCAGTGAAACATATATATGTATACATATAAAGAGAAATTTATTATCCAACAGTTGTATTATTCAGGACCACAGAGGAAGAGAGAGAGAGTCCTTCCTGCATGTCCATTGTATTAGGAACATGCCACACCCCCAAGGACACATCCCTTCAAATGATTGGCTAATCATAGCCACTCATCATGGAGCTAACTATGCCTGTGTTAGGTTTCATCACCACATCGCAACTGCTAAATCTTTGGAAATCCTGGTCTAGTCAAGTTGACGCAAAACCCCAACCATTACATTCCACCTTTGTCAACTTGACACTTATAAACTATATTCATAACCTCTACATAAATAAAATTGTAAAGTCATACTTATGCCTAACGTGATATAAATAAAACTCATATAACTGAAACTCATTGGTCCTATTTTCATCTTAAATGTCACAAATCCACACTTAACATCAACCAAGTCTAGGAGCTCTGGTAGCATAGTTAGTGGTTAAGAATTGGGCTGTTAATCTCATGGTCAGCAGTTCAAAACTATCAGTGGTTCCATGAGAGAATGGTGAGCCTTTCTGCTCCCATAAAAATTTATAGCCTTGGAAACCCTATACAGGGTCACTATGAGTCAGAGCCAACTCCATGGCACATAAACACCACCAGCAGCACCATCAACCAAGTTAAGCAGCCCAGGTAGCATAGCAGTTATGAGTCAGACTGCTAAACTCAAGGTCAGCAGTTCAAAACTACCAGTGTTTCCATGGGACAAAGATGAATGATTTACAGCCTTGGAATCAGGGTCACTATGAGTCAGAATCCACTCCAAGGCACATAGCAACCACTACCACTGCCAACCTCAACAAGTCTGGTGTGGCATTAGGACCAGCACTGGACTGCGAACCATAAAGTCAGCATTTCAAACCCACCAGCTGCTCCTCAGAAACCCCATACAGGATTGCTATGAGTTGGAACCCACAGGATGGCATTTAACAACAAATCAACCCAGCACACTGAGGAGATAAGCATGTCCCTTGCTCTGAAGAATCTTCCATTCTGGTTGGAAATGTTGAGCAACTCCATTCTTAGGAAAAAGTCCAGTCCAACAAATTGTAGCACTTGTTCAGAATATCAAACATCTTTATCTTCATCTGGTTATGTTCTGGTCAACTCAACCCTAGCCACCTTGTTGTTGCTGTTAAGTGCCGTCGAATAGGTTCTCACCCATAGAGACCCTGTTAGGGTTTCTGAGGAGTAAAAACATGGGTACCAACTGCATTTTGGGTGTTCATACACACCTCCCTGCATGTAAAATCAGTGGACCCTTCACTCTCAGACCTGGTCTAGGTCAGTGCCTATGGGCTCAGGAGTGCATACAACTCCCTAAACTTCAAACCAGCCAGCCTTCTAGCTCCTCTCAAGGTCAACGGATGCCAATAGAACATGTCCAAAGTCAGCCTGCATCTTCACCGCTGCATTTCCCCAAATCCCACTTACAAGCATGTCAGTCCTAGCAGGGTTTTCTCTGATGGACCATCTTTCTTTGCCTTGATGCCTCTGAAATGCAAAATGCCAAGCTGTCTGCTTGTTTTCAGTAGGAGACTTGAGTCTCTCATTCTCCTTGCAGTTCTGGGTTGGTCTGCATGTCTTTTCAAATGCAATTTGAAGTTTTCAAATGCAACTCAGAAGTTTCTGGGTGGGACTGAGGATTCCACCTAAAGCTCCGTACTCTACAAAGGCTTAAAGCAAAAAGCAAGCATATTTTTCCTGGCAACTTCTAACTCCCAATCAAGTACAGGCTGAAGGCGGGATTACAAAATCTCTGTAATTATAATATCCAATATTCCCATAACACACATGTATGTCTATTTTACAATAATAGTCTGTTGTTGTTGTTGTTGTTAAGTGCCGTCGAGTCACCCTGTACAGGGTTTCCGAGGGTGTAAATCTTTACGGGAGTAGAAAGCCTCATCTTTCTCCTGCGGAGCGGCTGGTAGTTTCGAACCGCTGACCTTAAGGTTCGCAGCCCAATCCGTAACCACTAGGCTACCAGAGCTCCTTCAATAATATTCTAGAGGAACCAATATCCCTAAGGCAAACACATAAACCTTGTAAAACACTCAACTTCAATTTTTTTTTCTCCCTTGGACTAGCCCCTTGCATATGCATATAGACCTGGGTCTCTGACAGGGTGGATTCCAGTAGACCCATGCCCAGTATTGTTGCTGTTGTTAAGTGCCATGAGTAAGTTTTGACCCATAGCAACCCTGTATAAGGTTTCCAAGGAGCAGCTGTTGAGCATGAACTGCTGACTTTGTGGTTCAAACCAAATTTACAGTCTAGAGCATAAACCCGCAGCACCACACACTATATATAGATATGTGTGTAGTGTATGTAAAGAAAAGTTTATTATCTTATAATTGTAGAGTCCCAGGTACCCAGAGGAAAAGAAAAAGTCTCCCCTCCAAACCCTCCCCCTGCCACCCCACCGCCCCAGTGTCCATTATATTGGAAGCAGGCCACTCCCCCTAGGAAGCATCCCTTCAATAGATTAGAGGTTCATAGCTGTTCATCATAGAGCTAATTATGCCTGTATCAGGTTTCATCACCATGGGAATAAGCACATCCCAGATGCTAAACCTCTGGAAATCCTGGCCTAGTCGAGTTGACACAAAACCCTAATTATTACACATTGCCATTGTTTTCTTTCTTTAGTTCTTTTCCAAGCCCCCTCTTTCCTGGCTGTAATCCATAGCCAAAAGTAATAGGAGTCCTTTTATTCTCCCAACACTGCTCTGCCTTCAGCAAAACACTGCCCTTCATCAGAATAAGTTCATCTGCTGGTGTTCAGAACCCCTCTGTGTGGCGCTGACCTCTCTATTCCATGTTAGGTTCCCATGTCCCTCTTCATACAAACTCAGTTTATACAAACACATGATGTACACCCACCTCTCTGTGTATCCTATCTCTATCCCTCAAGTCAGTTCTGATAGAGAGTAACTCTGTAGGATAGAGCAGAACTGCCCCATAGGGTTTCCAAACTATAATCTTTATTGAAGCTGTTGTTAGTTTATTAGGTGCTGTTGAGTCAGCTCCAACCTATATCGACCCTGTGTACCACCGAATGGTCCGTACCATCTTTACAATCTTTGCCATACTTGAGCCCGTTGTTGGTGCCACTGTGCCAATTCATTCTCATTGGGGGTCTCCCTCTTTTTGGCTGTCCCTTCACTTTACTAAACATGATGTCCTTTACCAGGGACAAGTCCCTCCTTATAATATTTCTTAAGTATGAAATATGAAATCTGCCATCTTGGCTTCTAAGGAGCATTCTGTTGTACTTCTTCCAACACAGATTTGTTTGTTCTTCTGGCAGTCCATGGTACCTTCAATATTCTCCTCCAACACCACAACTCAAATGCATCAATTCTTCTACGGTCTTCTTTATTCATTGTTCAACTTTCACAGTAGCATATGAGGCTATTGAAAACACCATGGCTGGGATCAGGTGCATCTAGTCCTCAAACTGGCATCTTTGCTTTTGAACACTTTAAAGTGGTCTTGTGCATCAGGTTTGCCTAATGCAATATGTTGTTTTGCTTTATTGAAGTAGACTGCCACATCTTTCTCCCATGGAACAACTGGTATATTAGCGCCACTGACCTTTTTCTGGTTAGAAGCTGAGTATTTTATCCAAGCTTTCCACTAGTGCTTGTTACCTCTCTACTCCTCTCCAAATCTGTCATTCTCCCCGATTCCTAGACCCATTGCTAGCCCCAGTTTTTGAACTTCTACTGTACTCTGAGTATGTACTGACCACAGCTCCTTCACCTTGTCCCACACTCTCCTTTCTGAGCACATAAAGAACACCCAACAAAGTCCTGATTAAGCAACACTAACAAAAGGGATTGATATTCCTTCTAAACTGAATAATAAAATCATTACTTAAATGTTTATTTATTTCTTAGTATGCAAATTATTAGAACAGGCAATAATGCAATAAGAAATTAAGTGGCCACCTAGTCCTGTCCCATTGTTGTTGTTGTTAAATACCATCAAGTGGGTTCAGACTCACAGTAACCCTGTATAGGGTTTCCAAGGAGCAGCTGGGGAGTTTGAACTGCTGACCTTACAGCTCCAACTGATCTTGCAGTCCAGTGCATTATCCTGCAGTGCCACACCAGGACTCCAATCCTGTCCCATTATTAACCATCAAGTTGGCATCTGGGCACTAATTTATTACAATAAACTGTGATGCTCTCTTCTAAACCATGAGTCTTTTGTCTCTTAAAAACCATTGAGCTTTATCAGCCTTTTCTAAGTTACTGGAAGCCTGAGAAATGAGGTCATAGGCTAATGTTCTCTGTGTTGGTATGTATATTTATCTTGAAGGGCTTTTTCTCTTTTAGTGAAGTTTCTTTCTTTCGTTTTTTTTTTTTTTTTTAAACTAAGGACTTAATAAATAGTTGTCTAAATATACAGTGTAATTTCTTTTGTAAATGCAAAGCAATACTTACTTCTGAATAGTTGTAAGTGGAGAAATAATTAGCTTATTATTATTCAGGATTTCTAGTTCAACCTGGATTTTGCATTTAGGATTCTGGGACTTTTCATTCGTGGCATTGAAGAAAACAGCAGGTCCAAGAGGGAGGGGCTGTTTCATGAAAATGAATGTATTGTCAAAATCAACAACCTGGACCTCCTGGACAAAGCCTTTACTCAGTAAGCAGTTTTTCATTGTTTCACTTACTTAGTAATTTCCAGAACGTATATAATCATTACTGAACTCATTATGATCAAAATTATAGGTAGCATTTCCGGCTAGTTCCCGTGACCATCCATTTCCAAATAAATTTTATGTTTTAATCTACTCAAAGGTGGTCTGCACATGGTCTCGGAGGCCCTGAGTATTTGAAACCACAGAAAATAACACCATTCCTGCCTGCCTGTCATATGGGAACAGTACTGGATGGGTTTGTTTTTCTTAGGGTATGGGTCAGTTAGACTGGTATTTAATGACTCTTTTCACAGACTATTAGTTCAGCTTATTAATTAATTTACTTGGTGTCAGCAGTCTTCCCTTAAACTAAAAAATCTGTGAGAAATGTCTGTGAGGCCTCACTGACCAATAGAAAGCAATACCCAAAGTAAACAAAATTACTCACCCTCAAAAAAGTATCTCTAACTGCATGAGGAAATGATGTGGAAAAGGGTCCTATACCTGAAAATTACAACGTGTAGTAGTTTGATCACACACAGGTAGATAGATTGATAGATGGATAGATGGATAGAAAGATAGATGGATAGAAAGATAGATAGATAGATAGATAGATAGATAGATAGATAGATAGATAGATAGATAGATAGACAGACAGACACAGACATTGCAGGATTCCTGAAACAAGGGAATAAGTACTAATACTCTTTAGTAATGACTACCAGTCTCTGTCATTTGTAACCAAAACAGATCATAGAGTTTCTTTTCTGCGGTCATTAGTTAAGAAATGAAGCTCTAAAAGAGTCTATATCTTAAAATGATAAAATAATAGGGAAACTTATAATTATTATTAATAATGATTTTTTAAATATACACTGTGCCTTTTCACACTGCACTAATAAGTATGCAGAGCATATTTTATAGAGGTGGAAACACAGGTGTATAAACTACAACGACATTCCCAAAGACATAGCTATTATGAATAGACAAGGAAAGATAGCGTAGGGGAACCGAGCAGAGAAGTTGGACTGCCTATGTGGAATCCTCTCCATTTTCCACTTACACCAAGGGGCATTAAGTGATTCACTAGATGGTACTTATATACTAATTGGGATTATACTGTTATTATTTGATGTGACTGCTAGTAACACACATAAAACCTGAAATAATGCTAAGATTTATTTTCTCTCAAGATTGGCAGTCTATGGTTTATCTGAGAGCTCCAGTATCATCAGGTTATTTGGCATCTTTTCTCTCCTTACCCTGCTCTCCTTAACAAAGGGTTGTTATCTTTAAGTTGTTTCATGATCACAAGATGGTTGCTTGAGTTCCTGCCATCACTCTGAATGCTGAGAAATCTGAAGGAAAAAGAGAAAAATGCCTTCCAGAGGAGCCAGTCATTTTTAAAGAGCTTTCATTTAAACACTGCTTAACCCCCTTCACTTATATTTTCTTAAGTTTTGAAAAGGTAATTGTTTTACTGAGTCAAAGGGCAATATAGAGGCAGAAAGAAGAAGAGGCAATACATGTGTGTATGTGCAGTTATATTTTAGCATCTATTATATTTCATTAAATGCATGTGTTGCATATTAATAGATTTTTATATACAAATGTTGTTTTCGTTAAGTACCATGGAGTTGGTTTTAACTCATAGCAACCTTGTATAAGGTTTGAAGCAGTGGCTGGTGAGTTTGAATTGTTGGCCTTGTGGTTCAAACCAACCTTGGGGTCCGGTGCTTTTATCCCACAACACTACATCAGGAGTCCTTATATACAAATACACACATAAAAATAATTGTAAAGGCAATATATAAAAGCAGATACATTTTTAAATGATAGGCCCTTTTAAGGAAAAATCAAAGTACTAGGACAGAAAAGTAAACAAATGCAACAAATCATCATTTTTCTTAAGGAAAAAAAAAACAAGGTCCTCTCTGATGAATGACAGCAAGAAGCATGCACTATTACATTTAGGCAGAGTCAAGGCCCCTGCTAAAATGGCTCATCCCAAGAACCTAAATGATACTCCAATCAATGATATGAAATAATTTTTCCCATTAAAATTAAAGCTTACTTTTACATTTACTTCAATAATCATAGATTTTTATATTTCGAAATGCTTACAGGCTGTGGATGACTGAGCCAGAAACTTAGTCTCTCTGATCTCAATTTCCTCAGCAAAGCAAATGCTAAGTTTACCTCACATACAGGGTTGTTAAAAGAAAATTAATTAGGAGAATTATTCATATTAATATCAGGTATCACCACAGTGCAGGCATACAGAGTAGAAGGTGAGATAATGGTGAGTAGTATTTAGTTAGGATACCTGGAGTTGCATTGGGCTGCCTACTACAAGGTCAGAGATTCAAACCCAACAGTTGCTCCATGGATGAGAGATGAGAACATCTGCTTCCATAAAGATGCACGGTTTTGAAAACCTCTGAGGAGTGAGTACTCCTTAGAGGCCAGGATAGCCAGACTTCGTCTCTCATACTTAGGACATTTTGTCAGGAGGGACCAGTCACTGGAAAAGGATATCATGTTTGGTAAGGTGGAGGGTCAGAGAAAAAGAGGAAGACCCCAGCGAGATGGTTTGGCAAAGTGGCAGCATCAATGGGCTCAAGCATGGCAACAATTGTGAGGCTGGCCCAGGACCGGGCAGTGTTTCGTTCTGTTGTGTATAGCGTTGCTATGAGTCAGTACCGACTCGATGGCACCTAACAACAACAACACCAACAAGTGGTGGGTCCACTCTGTCCTACAGGGTCTCTATGAGCCAGAAACGGGAAGACAGTGGGTTTGATTTGGTATTTAGTTGGCACAGTAGTATTGGTAGTAATATTGATACTGTCTCCTCTGCTGATGCTATATGCCCCATTGTCAAGATGCTGATATACTCAACAAAGAAGCATGCTAGAACAGCCCACTGATACCCATTTTATCTCTTTGAAGGGCTCAAGATGTCTTTCGTCAGGCGATGAAATCCCCAAGTATGCTTCTCCATGTACTTCCACCCCCAAACCGTGAAGAGTATGAAAAATCTGTCATTGGACCTCTTAACATTTTTAGTAATAGTGACGGCATTTTGAGAACAAAAGTACCGCCTCCTGTCCATGGAAAATCAGGACTAGATACAGTAAATCTGAAAGGAGCAAGTAGTCCTGAGGCAGATGCATCAAATGCCTTGCAACAAAGCAAGAGCCCCCGAATACCAAGACAAGGACGACATCCACCCTCTCCCTCACTCTCCCCTCTCATGGGGCTTGGCAGCAAGAAAAATGCAAAGAAAATTAAGATTGACCTAAAGAAAGGTAATTATTAAATTATGCTTAATAGCATTCTATTATTGTAACATGTACAATTGGTTAAGAGAAATGCATTAAGGCTAATTTAGTTAATTCTTCTTTCATTAAATTGTATCAGAGAATAGATTTAGGTGTATACTTAGATAAATTAAATTTCTTGAATTTATACTACTTCCTTATTCCTTTTTTCTTGAGAGTATAGATTATTTAAAACAAGAGAATCTTAAGGACATGGAACTGGGAAGAGTCACCACAGACCAGAGAGAAATGCAGCAGTGGTCTTTCAACTTAGCACTCAATAGTCACTAAAACTCAGTTGCCTCTTTTTTGAATAATTTTTGAAACATCTTTTAGGTCAAGTCTAAAAGCATATTGTGTCTGGTTCTCTAAAATAGTTTTAAGTCAACAAAAACTTTATTATTTGAGAAATGAATATAAGAGGGCTTCAAAAAGTTCATGGGAAGTGAAATTAAATGATGCTGGGATTTTCCCACAAACTTTTTGAAGCTCCCTCATATGTGATGATTATAAACTTTGCTAATTCAATATCACAAACCATTTTTTAAAAAACAGACTTAATTTCAAATATATGTTTAACATTGTCTTTCTTCACCTTTCTTAGCTGTTCTATCCATTTTAAACAGAATAGGGACACTAGATAGTGTGTGTAAATATGCATTTATAAAATTTTATATATACACCCAAATAATTCTTTATATACTTCAGGCTTTTGTTCATTTTGTAACCTATGCTTGACGCTCCTTTCTAAAATTGTAAACTTTTGTAATTCTGTGTTTTTCAAGTCTCAGTTCAAAAGAAACCAAGATGATCACGTGCATTCCTATTTGAATTAATAGGGAATTTAATTGTCACAGGTAGTTTTATACTATCTGTTAAATATAATTTATAACATGCATCTTTAATTAGAATATAGTTATTATTGTACTAAGATTCTTTGATTATAATTTGATTCAGATATAAGGAGTCTTTACTGGGAAGGAAATATGTTGACTAGGAGATACAAACATTCCAGTGCAATTAGAAATTATATTTCTTGTTTAAATGTATCTATTGCCTTTTTTATAAGCATTATCTGGCAATGTAGAAGACAGTGAGTTGGGTGCTTTGAGGATAAAAAGAATGAATTAGAACAGAAGGTGACCTTAGAAATCATGGTTACTTGCAGAATAGAGATGTCATTTCTAGAAATTAAAACTTAAGAGTAGATGAGGATATTTCATGTTAGGATCTTGGGTTGGAAAGGGAACACATAATGGCATTTGAAACACTGCTGACAGTATATGCACGATGGTTATCTAGGAAGCTAACACCAGAAAAAGAAACCAGGGCCAAAGAAGGATTTTTTTTAAATCTTCCATAGAGAGATGATAGCTGGAGCCAGTAGCTGGCCAACTCAGAGAACCAGGTGTTCCAGGTCAGATCCTTAGGAGCAAATCTATGTTTATGTTAAGAGAGAATGGGTAGAGTTAGAGTAACAAACATACATGAACAGAGAAGTAGGAGAACCATCAGAAAATAACAGCATGCAAGCCACTATGTGTAAATTGATTTCACAAATTGATTGATGAAAGGTGTCAAAGGTCAAGAGGGAGAAATATCAAAGATAAGGAAAATTATTGGATATGGTCCTTGGTAGTTCTTTGAAAAGATATACTGAGAGAAATGGAAGATACAGGAGAGTAGGAGAAGAACACCAAGAGTGAGTGATGGAAAAGTCGGATGCAGCAGTCTAAATCTAAGTACAGGAGTGAACCACAGGTTGGCTAGGTGATGGAGAACCTGTCAGAACTCACATCAGATAGTTGTTTGTGACTCAGAGAAGTATGTAGTCTGGTTAGGGTTTACTAAGAAATCAATATCATGATTAATCCCAACATGTGCCATTTCTTTTAGGACCTAAATTCATTTTGACACCATCATGGCATGCCTGGAGCTATTTCTGTATTTGAACAATTGAAGCATTTTTATAATTCCCTGGGATGTAAATATTTCATCCATTCTCTATTAGTCTAAATCAGATAGATTTATTGTACGATTTAGTATTATTCATGCTTATGGTGACCGTATATTTTCCTGGCCTTTTATTCTAGGTCCCGAAGGACTTGGTTTCACTGTGGTTACGAGAGATTCTTCCATACATGGCCCTGGTCCCATTTTTGTGAAAAACATTTTACCAAAGGGAGCAGCCATAAAAGATGGTCGACTGCAATCAGGGGACAGAATTTTGGAGGTATAAATTGGAATTAATGTCTTCATTAAAATAATGGTTGGCATTTAAATAAATAAGTATACAACTATATACATATATTAATATTTGGAGTACTCTATCTATCTATCTATCTATCTATCTATCTATCTATCTATCTATCTATCTATCTATCTAGAACAGTGATGGTGCCGTAGTTAAGTGCTTGGCAGATAACTGAAAGGTTGGTGATTAGCATTCACTGGCTGCTCCATACGAGAAAGATATGGAAGTCAGCTTCCTAAAGATAACAGCCTGTGAAACTTTGCAGGCCAAAGTCTGACTCACCTTTAGGGTGGCTGTGAGTGGAAACCCACTTGATGGCAATGGGTTTGGTTTGGGAATTCGGGTCTGATGAGAATTTCATTGGCAAATCTTACCTTTTCAGCCTGACCTTACCCCTTTAAACTTCATTTTGTTCCTTAAGAATGCCATAACTGCAGTTTTCATGTAGTGTAAATCCCAAAGTACATAATTCTTCAGGGGAGGGTTAGAGAGATGGACACGCTGCCTTCAGAAGTGTACAGACTTACATGGAAGACATGTTGAGAAATCATACGAAGGAGCTTCTTCACTTTTTGATATTTTTATTTAATAAAAGTTTCTATGATTTTGTAGCAACATATTTTAGCTTACCCTCATGTATATAAATAATGATTACTTTCAATAATAAGAACTAATATCTATGTCAAGGAACTCCAGTGGCACTGTAGATTAAGCACTGGTTGACAGTTCATATCCAGCCACTGCTTTTCCAGAAAAGGAAAAGGATTAGTCTGCTCGAATGAAGATTTGGTGTCTCAGAAAGCCTGTGGAACAGCTCTGCTTTGTCCTAGGTTAGGTCACTGTGAGTCACAATTGACTCAATGGTAATGGACTTGTTTTTATTACACATAACACCAATAAGGTCACAGGAAGGATAGGGACTTTATCTAATTATAGAACTATTTAACAGTCAGCCTAAGTTTGTAAGTCCCCAATAGGGTCAGTGAAACAGAACCAAATAATATTGAATTTTTTTTCTTTACCTTCATATTCTTTCTTTCATTGCTTAGGGCCCTTGAAAAATTTGGTTCAAATCCAGGATTTCATCCTATCGTCAGTTAGAAAGATGTATTTCTAAGTTATATTTAAACCTAGGCAGCAGTTTCTGTAATCTTCTATAAGGATTTGTCCATCCTTTTCAGGTTACCTTCATCTCCTGTGCTAGACTGGTAATAGAAATGACTGTTCGGGATATTGCATAGGGAATTATTTGAAATGACAAAGCGAGGGGCATTTTTGCTTATTTTCCCACTGATTTTTGTTTAATATCTTCATCTTGGCTACATGTTTAGTATCAACTTATCTTTCAAGCACTCGTATTTACTGAAAGGTATCTGGTACCATTGTACTCTCTGGTGGGCTGGAAACACCCCACTTTAGATTTTTATGTAGTTCTAGTTCATAAAAGAAGACAAACCCATGACTAATGTGTTTCCAAATGAGAATTTCCAATAATCTATGTTAAACCAATGATGGTCATTTTTTTTGTGTGTGAATTGAGTGATTTTTTTTTTCAATTATTATTGTGAATTGAGTGATAGCTTATATGAGAGAACACCAGTTTTACACTCATCCCATTGAACTTCATTTCACTGAAATGATTACAATCCCCTCCAGTTACCATCATTCAAAAGTATTTGCTTATATTCCCTCTGTTTGTTTTTTCTTGTATGTGCACAAAAACACTTAGGAATATATAGTCATTAAAACAACCAAAGGGCATATTCTTCCAGCCTGCCTCCTGGCCACTAGCACACAGCCTTTCTCTTTCCATGAGTCTGGAGTCCTCAGCTGCTCCATCTTTCCATGTCATCATCTCTGCCAATGTCTAAGTTGCCTGTCCCTATCAAAAATGTGTACAGAGGGGATAGGATTTATTACTGATGTAAATATTCCTTCCCTCTCAATTGGTATTTTGAGCTACTACATCCCTAGCTGTAGGTCAAGATCATCAAATTGTAGCAATTTACATTTGTTTCCTTTATCAAATGATGGTAACTTTTTAAGCATGGAAACAATCTAGAATTATATCTAAAGACTCACATTTCCAGGAGAATTTGCTGTGTGATAATGGTTCACTTCTGCTCATTGCGTTAGGCAGAATGTGATGCCAGCTATACATTTAAAATCTGCTCCCTACCTATTAGAGGAATCTTCTCTAGTGTTTTACATTTCCATTTCCCCTCTAAGAATGAGATGCTACTAATTGCTGGCTAATCTAAGGCTGTTTGAGACTGCCCATCACCGTAATAATGGCTGTCAATATATTATTGGTATTTTAAACATGGTTGGCTTTGATCCATGAGATTAGTTTTCATCTTTTCAGGGTTTCCTTGATGGCAGGGGTCTATTTGTTGCTTACTTTCAGACACAAGCTAGAGTGAAAGGAGATGGCAGTGTGGTAATTGTATCTGTTCACATGGTTGCATTTATTAGGTGAATGGCAGAGATGTCACGGGACGAACGCAGGAGGAGCTTGTATCCATGCTGAGGAGCACCAAGCAGGGAGAAACAGCATCACTGGTCATTGCCCGCCAACAAGGAAGTTGTCTTCCCCGAGAACTGGTAATGCACAAATCTGAGAGCTCATAATGTTCAGATCTGAGTTTCCCTTCATTTTCAATGCAGAGTTTAGCATACTTAATGAACTCAGAATAGTTGAAAAAACGAGATCGAATCCACTGCTACAGTCTTCATTTTTAACAAAATTTGAGTCCAACTGAAATTTTTCTGTTACATTTAGGGCATTGCAGTTTGAAGATGTTGATATAATGAGTTAGGAATATAGGAATACTGCTTCTGGGACACAAATTGGAACATATTTTCAGGGAAGCAACTTATTGTCAACTAACTCAACAAAATATACACTGAGATTGTATCATGTGTTCCCAATGTAAAACATTCAGAAAAACAGTTTGTGGCACTATCTTTATGGAGGTTACAGTCTAAATGAAAATAAAGTTTTAGCTAAGTACTTGGAATAGTAACAAAGATTCTAAAAGGGAAACTGCAGAATGTTACTTGAACATTTAACAAAGAGTATATTTTAGTTGAGGGTTACAGAAGCATTTTTAAGGAAGAGAATTTCAGAAGTCTTATTTCAATTTAGGATTTGACCTACTAACTATACTTTTAGTAATCTGTGTTATACCATTCATCAGAGATATAGAAAACTTCATGTACATTGATTTATTTTTTTTTTTTTTTACTAAAGCACTATGTACAGGAATGATATATTAGATACTGTAGAATCGTAAAGAAATTGGTTACATAAATAACTGGATAACTCTCCCATAAAATATTATAAGTTCTTAAAATGGTCTTTGTTAAGTATTGAAAATAACAAGAGAAAAATTTCATCATATAATCGTTAAATTACGGCCATTCCACCCTGAAGGCACCCAATCTTGTCTGATCTCGGAAGCTAAGCAGGGTTGGGCCTGGTTAGTACTTGGATGGGAGACTGCCTGGTGCTTGGATGGAATACCAGGTGCTTTAGGCTTTAGGAGCTCTGATAGCGTAGTGGTTATGAATCGGGCTGTGAACCGCAAGGTCAACAGTTAGAAACTACCAGCTGCTCCGCCAGAGATAAATGAGGCTTTCTGCTCCCGTAAAGATTTACAGCCTCGGAAACCCTATTCAGGGTCCCTGTGGGTCGGAACTGACTCGATGCCACTTAACAACAACAACAATCGGTAAGTTAAAAAGTAGGGTAAAAATTATATATGTAGTATGATCATATTACATTAAAGATATCTTTTTAAAAAAACAAATGGCAATTTTAAAAATATTTGGAAATAGATACACTTGGAATGTTGATTTGAGAGCTTTTTTTTTTTTTTTTTTTTTTTTTTACAGTGAATACATTTTGTTATTGAAATAAATGCCTTTAAGAAGACTAGAAAACATATTGGAAATTCAGAGCAAATGCAATAAAAAGAATTTCTGTTATCCTTGATTTTTTTTTTAATTATTTCTTCTGAATCTGTCTAAGAAATGACAAGGATTTAAGTAAATAATACAGTCATTTCCCATCAAAATGGGAAGAGTTAGTTAAGAATTAAAGATCTATGTGTGAAGAAGAGAAAATTTAGGAGACATCATTGTTATCAAATATAGAATTACTGTATGATTTGGAAAGTAGACTTAATAGTTTCTTCATATAATTTATATCCACTAATTCAGGTCTATAATAGTTCAGTAAACATCTGTTGAGTATTTGCTATGTATAAAGATAGAGGTTCTAAGGATGCAAATATAATTAAGACTAATTTTCAGCCCTCATTTAGCTTGTAATAAAACCAATCATTAGAAATGATTAAGTTTCAGGAACTCTCTAACCATACCATTGGACTGACCTTTATGAATTGGTCAGTCCCACTCTAGTTTTGCAAATAAGAAAACAGAGTCAGTGTGGTTGAGTTACCTGTCCAAGGCCCTATAATGAGCTGAGTCTAGAGGTCTGAGTTTCCAAATTAACTTTCTCCAGATTCTAACTCTGTGTGTTAAATGTCTGTACCCACTGCTTTATGATGTAGAACAGGATACAAAATCAGTAAGCTTCTTGGTTATCTAATCTATGCTATAAGGTTAGTACAATGATTAAAAGATAACATATGCAAAGCTCTTAGATCTTTCTGATCAATTCTAAATTCTCAATATAAAGTATAATTTTTTCCTCGTATATTACCATTTTTTGAATACTATAAATATAATTCTGAAGTTTAGGTACATTAAGAGGTAAACAGACTTTTACAGGCTGGTCTTGAACTAGTAACCACTGCTTTTATTTATTATTATTATTATTTTAATGTTTTCTGGGATTCAAGATACTGAATTGCAAACAAAATAATTTATAGGCAACCAAATGTATAAATGAAGGCAGCCTATTTATGTATTATTTCTCTTTAATAGAATTCAGTGAAATTTTATTTCAAGCCCAGAAAAGACATCGTACGTAGGCCAAGCCCACTGGGAAGCATATTAAATTATTTTCCAAACTATGAGATTATAAATGCAAATGCATTAGTAGCTCCCATTATTGTTAACTTCATAACGAAAATTTGAGGGCATGTGCCTAGTATTCATTCTCTTACAACTTCCTGGCAAACAGTGTATATTCTTTTTATTAAAAATTGACACTAAATCATTCAAATCAGTGGAATATTCTTTGAAACCACACAAAGCAAATACCTTTGAACCCTACAGGTACCTAAGGAATGTGGAAGTAAAATCTTTGTTTTGGAAAATATGCAATAACCTTGTTTTTCAGCCCAAATGCCTTCTGGGAGTGCTGAAGTTGAAGAGCCCTAGAGGAAGTTTAAAGAGTGCTTTTGTTTGTTCTGCACTAAACTGTGTTAATGGGAATTACTTCATAGTGTAAAGGAGCTCTGGTAGCATAATGGTTATGAATTGGTTTGCTAACCTCAAGGTCTGCAGTTCAAAACTACCAGCTACTCTGTGGAGGAAAGATGAAGCTTTCTGCTCCTATAAAGATTTACAGCCTCAGAAATCCTGTACAGGGTCACTATGAGTTGGAACAGATTCCGTGGTACATAATCACCACCACCACCATCAATTCATAGTGCTGCGTGTATAGGACTGGTTGAAGGAGCAAAATGAAGACTAGAGTGCGCTGTGAAAACACATCTTTGTGTTTTCTTTTTAGAAAATTGAAGATAGAATCACTTTTGTCTCTTCTCCCTCTTGGTGATTGATGCACATACTTGACTTTCTATTGAAATCCTGGCAGGATAAAGGAAGGACAACACTTCCTGCTTTTGTCTTGTTCTATCTCCTTTGAAGAAAACGAACTGTGTTTATTGTTTTCCTGTTCTAAGAAACTGTCCTTTCCCTTTTGTTGAGCCTTGATATTTCAATAGCTGTGTGCTCTCTTAACACCATGGGTGCTGCCTGTTTTCTGACAGCTAGGAATTCCTTACTTCCTTGTTAGTTAGCTACTTGTAGTCTTAATACTTAGAGCCAAGAGAGCATGTGGTCAGCAGTTACACAGGAAGTCACTAAATAGAATTGTGTCTCAAATGTGACCTTCTACCATCTCAAAGGTCTTCACATCCATTTTCTGGTCATTTTCTCTGGAATAAACCCACAGAACTGTGTTGGATTCTTATAGTGCTAGTTAGTGGCCCTCTTCCTGAGCATTGCTTACTTACACAGGCTTAGCAGCATATTTAGCCAGCTTTCCTTCTATCTGTGGCACGCTACATTGGCAGTCAGCTGAGAGGAGTTTATATAGAAACATCACAACCAGTTTCCTCTTTCTAGCTGCTTTACCAAAAAAAAAAAAAAGCTTCAGATATAGTCTTTCTAGAATTCCAGTCTAGATGCCCTTTTGATGTATTCACCTCCTTGACTGGGTGAGAGTTTTCTAAAGAGGTCTTCATGTAAAGGGAAACTTTGTAGAAGGTGCTTTGAGATTTGTGCTTTTTAATAGAGCTGCAAGTGAAACAGATGTGTCTACATTGCACTTGAAATGAAAACGATGCTCATCAGTCAGTGATGGTCTGGTCTGTTCTGGGAGAAATGTGGCCTGCAAGGTTATGATTCCTATGTCCAATACCTGAAATTTGTTTTTTCTTAGTGTCAGATACAGCTGTCTTTTCATTTATGAAAAATACTTTTAAAATTAAAGGCTTTCTATTTCATACTTGAATTTTTTTTTTTTTTCAATATCTTGAGAGAGAGAAGGAGTAGAGAACTATGAGGAACCTTCAAAAAATTTGTAGAAAAAAATGGCATTAAAAAACACTGAACTTTTTTGCCAACTCTTGGAAGCCCGTCAAATTCTGTGCCATGGCTTTCTTGCCCATGGTGGTGCATGCACATGGAAGCACGTGTGTGTCTCCTTTCATTTATTGGAGAAAAAGAAAGAGTCTATCACTTCTTTGTTAACCTCTTTAACGTTTCATTTTCTGACCTGCTGCCTCATCTTTAAATTATCCTGAAAATCACAGCAACCCCTGGTGGGCAAAATGAGCTGAGAAAATTTCAAATGTATTTATAATTTCTACCTGCCAAGTTTGCCTGCTATGAAATGCTGGTTTCAGCTAGTGGGATTAAGGATATTTCAAGCAAGCGTGTTGCTATTGCCTGGCATGATTGAGATCCAAAAGTTAGCAATGTTTGTCATGCTGATTTGACCCTCACTTGGGAGTATTGCTTTCGCTGAGAAAACAAATGATGCACACATATAAGGAAACTCCCTTAACAGTTGCTGAGCTTAGTGTATTCTAACACTACCACTTTCATTAGTCATTGTTCTTTTTTAGCAAATGATACTGTGGACTCCAACTCCTCCATAGAGTTGAACTCCTTTACCTTCTCACCAACTGAAAATTCTTATCTTCAGATGTCCAATTATTTAAGATCATAAATCATGAAAGAATTTTGGTTTGAAGTCTTAGATGAACCTCATTTAACTGATATATTATTTTCTTGCCTTTAGCTATTTGATTCAAATGATGCCATGGTTAATTAACCAAGATACTTAAGGAAGAATGAATATTATAGTGGTTATTTGTGAATAAGTAGCAGAAATTGAAAGA